AAAATGAGCATTATTGCATAGGTATATTATTAGAAACTTTACATAAAAATGATAATTATACACACATTTACTGAGTTGATGCGAAATAGACTCTCGTAACACATTACAATTTGATGAAATTAGCAGTTGAAGTCAACGAGTTCGATCGGCTTTAAATTTCCAAAAAATGATAACAAAAAACAGTTATTATCAATCCCAATCATCATAGAAACGTTATCGTAGTGTACTCACGTGGGAGATATGACATTTATCAGAGTGTACAAATAATAAAAATAAAAATATTGTACATCGGATTCCGTACAAAAATTCACAAACTTTGTGTATCCAAAAAGATACAACACCAAGTTAAGGGTTTTAATAGATTTATACACGACATACGTATTAGCGGTACAAATCGATTATCTGAAGACTTTGCATTGTCGTCTGCAGTTAATTATTTTTACTGCGATATTCATTGATATCGCTAAATACTTTATCGAGTATTTGGTATGGCTAGTTAATTTAACGTTTATAAAAGTTCCCATACTACCTACTTATTAGTTATTTATAAATTAAAATATGTTCATAATGCGTATATACTATAGTCTATAGGGTATATAGATTCAAAATAATTGTTCGTCAGTCCATCCCGAAACTTCCGTGGACATAGAAAGATTATTTCCTATGTACAAAAATAGTTTAAGTCCAAACCGTCAACGTTTTACTGAAGACAGTTTATCTAAGTACATGGTAGTGATTTTTTTTTTTAAATAAACATTAGTTAAATATACAATACACAAACGGAAGGCCTTAAATTTCCACACAAACTATTTCATTTTTTAATAAATTTCTTTTGCCATTGCTTTTTATATAAATTAAATACTTTTTTCGTGCCTTTTTCGACATTTTAAATGCTTTTTTTTATTGATTATATTAAATTTAAAACGGAACTCTAGTAATAACTTATAATAATTGTACCTACTACCTATTATAATAAAAAAATTGATTATTGATTACAAAATTAAGTATCACAAAACAATTATTATTATAGTCTTATTTATAGAAATAGTCTCTAACAAGTTTTAGTTTGATATGAATAATGTTAACAAATTTTCTCCATTCGTTAATTTTTACTACTCTGCCACAACACTATAATAGTTAGATGGTAAAATAGAATAAAAATATTTGAGATGAATGTTTACAAAATACATAATTGTGTAATTTAAGTATACTAATACAAATTAAGTACGAATGAATAAAAAATAATCTATACAATTTTTTGGTAAAAAAATAAAAATATTGGTATACAATAAGGAGAATTTTTCAATTAATATTAAAATCAATGTATTTCCATGATTTTATTATTAACCTATTAGACACACATTTTCTTATCCGACACCATATTTTTTTAAGTTTTAAACTGAAACTACAATTCAAACAAATATTCTATAGTACGAACCTGTTTGTTAAACATTTTATTGGATATTATAGGCATTTTTATATGTTAATTTAGATGCGGTTGTGACTAATTGTGGCACGAGCTAAGTCAGTGGCGTCCGCAGGGGGGGGGGGGGCTAACGGGCTGAAGCCCCCCCCCATTGCCGTATTATTATTACTTTAAAAAAAATATTAATCAAGTTTAAACTGTCAACTATAGTAATCAAGACGTAAATTATATGACTTACCAGAATGAACTCATTTTTGAAAAAACATTGTATTTGCATACCAATTTTCATAAATTATCTGTAATTTTTTGGTAAAAGAATGAACTACTTGTACGAAAGACCTTGTATTAAATTGTCTAGCCTTAGCTGTACATATTTTATATTTTATACGTTTTGAACTACAAATTAACTGTGGTTAAATTGTTTTGAACTTTAAATGCATATGTATCGTTAATATTTTAGCTATAATAAAAAAAACTTACGTATTACATTTCTAAGCTTTTTGACCGGATAAATAATTTTTTATTGACATTTATAAAAAAAAATTTAATTAATCAAATACAATCCAAGTGAGGACGGTATAACCAAGCAGGGGCGTATGTAGGATTTTCTTGAGGAGGGGGATATCAAAATTTGTTTAGTGCTGTTGCAACTTTTTGTTAGTTACTCCATGTAAGGTATATAATAATAATAAATGTTGTGTAATGTCACTCACATGCCCACAGAATAACAAAATTATAAATAACAACAGTACTGCAGCAGTTTGTACTTTATACATGGAAAAAAATGGGTAAGGGAGGGGATCTATCCCCCATATCCCCCCCCCATAAATACGTCACTGTAACCAAGCTACTGTTACCAAACAATTTAAATAAGTTCCAATTAGGTACTTTTAAAAGCACGGAGCAGATTCAATTTCGACCTCCTAAAAGTACCAACTAGATCCAATTTGCTTCCAAAAACATACACTGGGCATCGAAGCTTATGATAAGAGCATATTTTCTACAAGAAAAGTTGAAAAGTTACAAACATTTTAAAAAAACCTCAAATAAACGTCTGAAATTATTAGACTGGACAAAATAAAAATAAATTTGTAACTAATTTTCAAGCCCCCCCCCCCCATTGAAAAATCCTGCCGACGCCACTGAGCTAAGTAATATAATAATAGTAAAAAGGTAAAAGTGGAATTATTATTGGGTAAATCGTATAAAATATTATAATATATTGATAACGAATAAAACATGGGAAGTCCTGATGTTTACGAACAACCGACCGATATAAGATTTATTTATAGATTACCGATAAATATGTTGGATATTGATTTTATCGTATTATCATATTATGTGCCGTTTGTGGTTATATAATATTTGTCATGGACGATAAACCATAGTGAATAGTCGGTGACTAATTATTACTTAAACCAATAGCGATTTGTTCAGTGTTTTACAAATTTTTTTTGTATTAAATATTTTTGAAATTATGAGTAGGTACTATAAAGAATAAAATTAAACCGAAGTGATTAAAAAACTGGTGCAGAAAAAAGTCGAATAAAAGAAAAACAACAGTTAGAAAAAATGGGCTCAGATCCCAAACAGAAAAAATTAATGTTTTTTTAAAATAAGCGAAATTTATGAAGATGATAATATTTATGAAATTACTATATCAGACGTGCAAGATGAAAACAATGTACCTATTGGAGAAGTTACCAGTCTCATCTCACGGTAATTATTTAATTTCAATAAAATAATATAAATTGAACGCTTTAAACTATAGGAGTATAGAATAGCCAATAATTATATTGTTATTTAAATTTAATTATGGTAAATTAGTAAATATTGATTTAGCTAAAAAAAAAGTATTCGTTATATGAACATATTTTTGTAGTAGTAGCAGTGGGTATTTATAAAAGGTTTGTTATAGTCAGTGGCGTATATACAAATTATTTTCACTACCTATGGGCCAATTTATCAGTTATCACTAGTTAAGCATAGCAATACTAACATAGCCATAACTATACATTTTTAGGGAGCTGGGTGGTTATAATTATGACATATTATACAGCACAAATACAAATTGAGCAATTTAGTTTTATAATTATTATGTAAAATTAAATTTTTTGATTTTTTTTTTAAAATATTGACAGTGCCATTTATATATATTAATGTTATTATCTTGCTATGAATTTAACATCAAAGTCAATAAATTATCAAAGGAAGTCCTGACAATCTAGCATTTAATTGTTGATTCCTCAAAAATGATTTTAATCAACCGGCTAACTTAATCATAGTGAAAAACTTTTAACAATGAAAAGATACATGCAATGCTTTAATTCAACCTGAAATTTCACTATGGGCTCTGGCCTAGGGGGCCTCCCCCCTATATACGCCACTGGTTATAGTTATTATTTTTTAATAAATTAAGATACCTATTTAGTTTCCAAATTTGTTATATACTCGTATGTATGAGTATAATAATATTTAATTTATTAATTCAGAATTAATATAAACAGTAAAGAATGAAAACTTCCTTTTTCTTCTTTTTACTTATTTAATAAACGTCTCTCTCAAAGAAAAATGATTCTCTGCTGTACAGTAGGTTAAAAGTGGATCACTGTATAATGGATGGTATTAAATTTGAATTCAATGATATAATATCATTGTATAAGAAGAACGATTCTGAGAGGACACGGTATGTCAGTCTAGGTATAAGACATATTATATACTTATCTATGGTATTCAAAAAAAAATTTTACATATAATAAATTAAAAAATAATCATATCACAATGGCCATTAGGTACTTATAACTTGTTATACATCAACAACAAACCCTGATACTATACTAGATATATAATAGTATACTATAATAGAAGTGTCTATGAATTTTTAATATGTTATCTAAAATATATTAGGTTTAATAAATACAACCATTCAACACACACATATGTGATGGATTAAAATAATTATAGAAAATCAATCAATACAGTTAATAAGCTTTACATTAAACAAGTGCGGTATACAATTTACTAATATTTAAAGCACATACAGCAAATGTAACATTAGTACGAATAACCAGTGGCGCACATAGGTGGTGGGGGGGGGTGGTGCTAAGCTGTAGGCTTAAAATTAACTCCCCCAGTTCCCTGTAGAACTACTATACTCAATTGAGTAATAATATAATATTTAAACCATTATTTCCAATTTAAAACACTAAAAGGTTTAATATTTATCAAATTGTTTAATTATAATTGCTAGTTATATAAAATGTAGAACCACTTTTAACGTAAACATGTGAGGAGTAAAAAACAATTTTTTTTTTTAAAGAAATCAAATATTTTGATTATTATTCTAAAATTATCAACATAATATTATATTGGGTACAGAGTTTGGGGGTTAGGGGTTAACTACTAGGGTTAGGGATCATTCATAAATGATTTTTAAAAAGTATAACCCCTCCTGAAAAAAATTTCTGGATATGCCACTGATTTAGTTTATGAAGTTTATGATAAAATCTAGTCAGTTAAATAAAAACAACTAAAAATTATCTTGAAAGTGGTTTGTATTTTGTGTTTGGACATTTTACTTTTCCGCCTTGAACAACATATAATGGCACAATGGGCATCGATCCTAAAACAAAAAAAAAATTAAAATTACATAAAAATAAAATAAATATTTATACAACTTTTCATAAATCTAACAATAATTGTTATAGCAATTATTACTGTAAAAATCAATTTTGTAATGGAGGCTAGACGATTATATTAGGCAGACTTGTGAAGTACTTGAATAAAAATATTAAGGTACTTCTTAAATACTCAAATATATTTGAACACTTTCACAAAGTTTCTGTATTTCAAATCAAATACTTCTATTGTCTGTTAGGAAATAATTTTATTTATTAAGCCACATAAGGTTATTTCTAGTGTTATAATATTTTTCACTTTAAGGGAACCGGTGCCGGGTTTTTCTAATTTACCACAATTCTAGAAAATTTGAAAATTATACATTTTTGCCTGATACCAATTTTTTTGAGATTTTTTTTATTAACTAAATTTTATTAAATAACAGTTAATACTGTGTATTATATAAAAAAAAAAAAAATGACATAATTTTCAGGCCTTGTAGAATCGTCTGATTTTGATAGCTGTTTTCTTAACTATTACATTTACACAGGAAGCCTTAACGTACCTACCTAATAATCCAAGGTTAACTTATTTTATTTATATTATAATAGTATTAACTAATTATTCACCTGAATATAGAGCCATTTACGCAGACATACACCGTGGAAATAATGATTACATTTAGTAATTTTTGCTGATCCCATATTTTGATAACATATGGCACAGACATCATCTAAATTAGACAATTGAAAGCTAGTTGCTGCAGGTAAGGATTCAATTTTTTTCACAGCTGTACGGCGTTTAATAAATACTCTCCATCCATTCCTAGCGGCACACCATATTCTGAAATATACATGTATAACCATCATGGATGCACGGACTGCACCACCAGACACAAAAGCGATACTATAAACACCATTCAGAAAAAGAAATATTCCAAAACAGAATTCCACCTAAAATAAAAAAATGTAACCATAATATTATTAAAACAATTAATGTTAAGGATTTCTAAAATTACCGTATTGCCAAATGATTTGATATAGTATACATAATCATCTAATTTTTCCCAAAAAGTTGTGCGATAAGCATCAATTAAGAACAATGAATAGACAGCTAATGATACCAACACTTTTATAATGATTTCAATATTGAATGATGAAACTGCCAGTAGCCATGTACTAACTGAATGGTGAGACCAAAAGTAAGTCAACATAGTGATAGGAAACACTATGAGAAATCCACACACTAAAAGAGCTCTTATATGTCTAAAAAATAAAATAAAATAAATTTAAAATCAATTATTGATAATGATTAATATATTACCTATTAAGTGAAGGGTTATGAGAAGCACTCAAAGACATTAATACTGGATTAACCATATTATGGATGTAATGCAGTAGGGCAGCACAAAGTAAACAAACATTACGATAGAGTCTTATAAAGCGCTTTTCTGGATCTAAACCTGTTAGTCCAGTCTCCAAAGCTAGTTTATAAAATAATACTGCAGAAACTGTTCCAATCCTTGTGCTATTCACATCAGTTAACAGCACCTAAATAAATAATATTTTAAAAACAACTGGAACTTGAAATAAATTTACAGCTTCTTACCCATTGGAGGAATGCTCCTATATAATGGCAAAAGTATGAAATAGAACTTGCCATTCCTAAAACTGCTGTAAATGTGTTGCACCCTTTAATTAACACATTTTTCACAACACTAAGCAAAGTTTCATTTTGTATTTCTATATCTGTTATCAGGTATAGAATTTGTTTTAGTACTCTTAATGCCCAAAACATTCGTAGAACACATGAAATGTTGAGACGATTCCATTCCAATCCCAGAACCTCAATCACATTCCCAAACAAATTGTTTATTCCTAAATTACTAGAACAAAATACACAATATCAAATAATACTATGATAGGTATACAATATTCCTCCATGTTTTACATAAGCAAATTGAGATTATACTTAGCTGGTGCATATAAATAATTATAATATGAATAACTAATAATATCAATAATAATATATGAAATGTACTTACTTGATGGTCACTCGTATACGGCTAAATTTATTACGAATTAAATTTGTAATTGTAAATAGATCCAACCATAATGTTTTCAGCATCATAAACAATGGCAATAATGTTGATAATACAGTTACTGTATTCAAAAATCCATGTATCCATGTACCGGGTAAAAATGCAATGGTTAAAGTAGGAATAGCAAAGCTAAAGCTGAAAGCCTGGAATAATTAATACATTATTTTTTATTCACATGAAAGTTAATTAGATTGTAAAGGTATTTTTAATAAATTGTAAATCTATAGTTGAAAATAAATAAATATTATTAAATCATTAATATTATCATCATCAATTTACCTTATGGATTGGTTGATTTGTAGTAAAGTTTTGTAGAAAGTAAAATAATAATGATAGAAAACACTGTAGGATTAAATTGAGGAATAAAAGGTATAGGAAATGTTCGACTTGTAATTCTGTAAAAAGATATAAAAATCCATCTACATTCCATGGTATATCTTTATTAAACGGGTTAGTTTCTAAGTTTTCATATTTTCCGTATACAACTTCCAGTGTTTTGTTTTCCCGATAAGAAAGAAGTAAAATACAGACAGAAAATAGATGAAGGTACACCATATATAAGTATCTGGCAGGTAAAACAAATGAACATGACAATGAACAAAATACTAGAAAAATAAAAATAAATATTAATTAACTGATAATGTTGAAACCGTATATTTATCTTACTCAAACAGTTTACTATTATTTTGATGAAGGATAGAAATATGCCCTTGTAATATTGTGTGGACTTGCCGATCTCAATCTGACTGAGTGTGCTATTTACTAAGTCATTACTTGCTGGGAATACCATATCTGCAAATTCTGGGAACCCAAAACTAGTTTTGAAGAGTTCGTCCATAATGAATATGAGTGGAATCCTCAACCAATCATGGATGTTCATGATATCCGTAGTTTTGAATAGTTAATCACTAAACATAACAAAGCCTTAAATCAATTACAACAATTATGGACATATTGGTAATATCAAATCAGACACATTAGTATGTAAATTAATACTTGGATGACACTGAGAACAAATCAACATCCAATGATACTGTAGTAGAGCCAAAAATTAGAAGATACGATTAAAACCACCGATTAAGATATAACGCAGTCCGTGATTAAAACCTTAGAGTAAAGACTATAAACAGAAACGTCCGTTGTCATATTGTGATACATGTGAATATGTGGCCCCGATGTCAACAATGAGCACACCCAAAACGACTGCTCATACAAAAGACATTACTTTGTTAACATTAATCACAACAATACGTTAGTAAATATTAAATTGGTATTCAATTGGTATAATATTTAATTATTATATTGAGAATTCAATATTTTAGATAATCAAGATAATTGCATAGAAGTGGAAAAAAATGTAGCTGGACTAAATACATATTACCAATGATGTGTATTGAAAACTAAAATTTTGCTAATGTTAATGTTTTGTAATTTGTATAATATTTTATAATTAATTTAAATGAGATGACAACATCAATGTTGTGTTTGATACTCACATTATAATATTATGTAGATTGTGTAAATCAAATAATGAACTTAAAAAAAAAAAAAAATAGGTATGTGATTAAAAATTATATTTCCATTATTACTAATAGGAACAATAGTATAAATGCTCAATGGAATGTATTTAAAAAAATATGTATTATTATTATTTTTTTTAATGATATTAGTATTACATTGTATAATGATAAATACTAAACTCTTCTGTCAATGATTGATGTTGTCATAATAATTATCTAGTGTGAAATTCAACTTATAATATTATTAACACAATTTTTAAATTATACTATATTTTAAGTCAGGGGTGATTGGAAAGTTTGTTTTAATTTTTGGAATACATGTTCCTATTGTTGCTATTGTTATTACCTACTCTAAGCTTCTATACTACAGAATAAAAATATTAAAAAATTTATATATATATTATAGGTATTCATTTTTTTGTGATATTTTCTGTTCATGTTCATCCATTATGATAAGCTTAATAAATGTCCTAGGCACAGAATAAATTTAATTTAATCTATTTTGTGCCCTAAATATCCGTTATCTAATCTGTAATACCTGTAATAGTATGAATATTGACTTCTTAGCTATAAAAAATTTCCCATTTATTTTCAATGGTAGTTAGGTAAATTAGTACCTATGTATAACCTATGACTATAAGGCTGTATAGCCATAGGATAGACACACAGTCCATCTACAAATATACAAATTGTATTAAGAGGATGCTACCCGTACATTTGTTGTCTCCGTCTTACACACTCACGACAAAGCAAATTGTCATTCACAAGTTTCAATAGTGTGCTGTTAGTTTTGATACTAGAGGGAATAGACCTATTAAAAAACTTTTAGGTCAGAACATTATCTGTGCTTAAGCGTTGTCAATTTTTCAAAATTTTAATTTTCAAGCAAGATATGGGTAGGCATGTGAAATATCAAAAATAAAAAATGCTCATATCTCGCTTGAAAATTAAAATATCGAATAAAACCCAACACTTAAGCATAGATAATGTTATTATCTAAAAAAATTATAATAGGTCATATTACTCTAGTATCAAAACTAACAGCACACTATTGAAACTAGTGAACGAAAATTTGTTATGTCGTACGTGTGTAAGACGGATACAACAAATGGGTTAGGTTAGGTAGCATCCTCTTAATAAGTACCTATGTTTAATGTTTATGTTTATTATCATTAATTTTTATAAATTGATCATACAATAAGTTATTGTACGTAATAGTAGGTACTAGCCACTAGGCATAGTTACCTGACCAGTGGCCGGTACAATATATCAGTATATGCCACAATCATGGTTATCAATAAATTGACAATTTATTATCGACCTTTGGGTCGAATGATATCGAATTTATTACTTATAGCTAATGGTCTTTATAATTGATAAGTATTATGATGAGTGTTTGTGACCAGTGCCGAAATCAAATTCCGTGGGGCGAACCGCGGACACCCAGCCAGATGGATATTATACAATACATTTAGGGGCACAACTCAACCTTACTGCGCCTACTTGAATTGATTTTAAAATTTAATATCTTTTGCCCTTGGGCATATAAATCCTAATGACTGTGGTATATACTGACGATGAGGTACAACACAATATTTACTTTGCACACAAAACCACCTCCCAAAACAACTCAACTTTGAAGAAAAATATCTCATCAACGGATTAACGAAAAATGAAAATTTAAACTTAATAATTCATAAAAAAAATAGCCTTATTAATTTATGAAATTTTAAGTATAGGTTACCATTTGAAAATCAAAAATTGATAGCAGTTTGCCTAATTAATATAAGGGTGAAAAATATAAAACAATTATACAAATGTAGAAATACATGAAACTAAAATTAAAAAAAAAAAAATTTGGAAAAAAGTTAATAATTTTCGAAATAATGTGTGTTCAACGATAAAAAAATCACCCCGTATATGTTTATTATTATTAATTCACGGACGATAACCCATTTTTTTTGCATAGTAGGATACTAGGATGGAAGATTGACATTTTATATTGCAGTCTCTGCTCCTTATTCGAGAACGTTACCCGCTAATCACTATGTTTTTGGTATACGAATGTCCTGTCCATTGTATATTATCCATGTATACCGGTCTATGTTCTAAACAGCCATGGGGCGGCGGATGTTTCAGTATAATATGTCCCAGCAATAACATTGGTACCAGTAGCACAGCTGATTATATTCAAGCCATGTAGTTCTTACAAATGTAAACAAATAAAAACTACTTCAAATCAGAATCACCAATAATAGAGAAAAACAGTTTTTATGAGAAAATATTAATTATTATCAATTAATCACTGATATTTAACAATCGCTCCAAATTCCTAACCAAATTCATATTATTTGATACAGTAATTATAGTGAAGGTGTTGTACAATAAATTATTTTTCATATGTGATCCTACAGCATTGAGGTAATAATATACAAAAATGATGAAGACTATTATTTTTGAGGGTTTGACAAAATATCGATTTGTGATAACAAACAATAATTCATTTCTCATATAGGTACTTTTTTCTCTATAGTAATGATTCTAATAATTTGATTTGCTTAGATTTTTGAGAACTAAAATGACTTCAATAGGAATTGCATTATCTGGTTTTATATACCTAATTAACTGTTCTGTTAATATTATGCTTATGGGTTTTCGTAAAATACTAATTTTACTTACTACGACTTATAGCCAGCCACTGGTATTTGACCAAGTTGAAAGTGAACTTGATTTCACTTGAGTTGACTGACTTGGCATACACTTATTATGGATACTCAGTTTTCGACTTTAAATTATTTACAACGAAAAAGCATGATATACTTTAGGCAATATAAAAAATGTTGGGTACGGTTAGAGTTTGCTCTATAGATATTATAAGACTGTATAGGACATCGGGCTTATCAACTGAGAATAAAGTGACAACATTTTTGAGGTTAAAAGAGTTTCTTAATTATTGATACATATTAATACGATTTAAAAAAACAAAAACAAATAATAAAATTATGAATATGAAATAACAGTTTAATTATTTTAATTATAATTTATTGCATATTATAATTTAAAAATCATTATTCATAATATTACAATTTTGTAACCTAACCTCAAAAAACAATCTTATAGTCTATCTCTCTCGTAGATATTAAACTTTCTCTCTTCCCAAAAAAGACCGCAACTTCTTACGAAGCCAGTATAGGCGTGTCCTATCCATTCTTATATATCTCTGGTTTGCTCTGGTGGTCACGGCTGTGTTTCGATGTTGGTGAAATTTGTTGTAGGTATATTCCTTGGAAAAGAAAACATATTTTATCTTTTTTTCAATGACATCCATCAAAACTACGCGACATTAAGCATAATATATAAGTACAACAGTTGTAAGTTAAATTCATTTTTACCAAAAATATTACATTTAAAAATGTCATTGTGGGTGTATAAATATAGTATATACTATATACCCTAAAAGTTTCATATACCCAAGAATAGTATTTTTAAATTACAACAAAATATAACTAAAATCGTTATTTTTGGTCTTAGTATGTAATTACGTCCAAATTTTAACTTATAATGTCTGTACAATTATAACCGTATTTATATTTTCTTCGGATTTTTTTTAGACTATGATTATTTGTGAGAATTTTTGTTTTAATATTAATTCTTAGCTATTAAAATTGAACATTTTATAATTTTTTAAATATTGGTACTAAATAATTTGTAAATTTTCAATTTGATAACTGTTGTCAAATTTGAACTTTAAACTTTACATTTTTATAGCTAAGGATTGAAAATGTAAAAAAAGATTCTCATAAATAGTTCATACTGTAACATAAAAAAAAAATACATATAGATATAAGCAACTTTATTAATATAAATATAGCGGACTGCTCACTTTGTGAGTTGCCTAAAGTTGATTTAAAAATATAGTTTTAGATTTATGAGACATTTAAAGTATATTATTATATTTTATACACACAATGACATTTTAAAGTATTTTTTTCGTCAAAAATGAATTTAACCTATTGTAGTAGTTACTAATGCCTAATACTATTCATTATAAATACTAGTATTTATGATCAATGCTAATACTAAAAAGAATTATTTTAATCACAGTTATATCTTAAAATATTCCTACTTAGTAATATTTTAGGCTGACGGACGTTCGCTCACAATCGTTTTTCGTATAAAATATTTTCATATCATTGAATTAAAATTTAACACCATCCATTACAGTAACCCACTTTTAACCTACTGTACAGTAGAGCGACACCCACTAACCCGCTTTCAAATTATTATTTATTTTAAACGTTTGGTGCACCAAATATTATAAGTTTGTATTATTGATTAGTGATTACTGAAAAGAGTGAGTGATTTTACTTAGTCGTGAGACGTTATTGGAAATGCGAAATCTAAAACTACCTACAAATTACAATTAATATTAACCGAGACATTTCTTTGAGTGAATAACTCGATTGTTATAACTTCTCGATTATCGAAATCACTAGACCACAGAGCGCTGGCTTTCGTGGCCCGTCCATCATACCCATTATCGTAACAATTGGTGCTCAACATTTTATTATCCGACACCATATTATTTTAAGTTTTAAACTGAAACTACTAATTTAAGTTTAGTTGCAATTTTTATCATTTTATAACATTTTGTGTATTGATAGATATTTGCTTGAATTGAAGTATAGTGGTATAAGAATAAATAATTGTCTTCGTTATTTCATTATTATAAAAAAAAAAAAAAAAAAATAATACAGTTAATACACTTTACATTAAATAAGTGCGGTATACAATTTACAAATATTTAAAGCACATACAGCAAATGTAACATTAGTACGTATTACCATAGGCGCACAAGGGGGGGGGAGGGGTGCTAAGCTGCAGGCTTAAAATTAGCTCCCCCAGTTCCCTGTAAAATTTATTTCATTTATCAATTGTAAATTACTGTGGCTTACGACTATTAGGTCGGATATTTTTTTTTTCATTAAATATAGACAATAGTACATGAATTCACGATTAAAACAGTATTGTATGAATGTATTTTTCACATAGGTGTGCGCACGGGGGCAGCAGAGGCAGCATATGCTGCCCCTGGACTTTCTTTGGGGCTACCGGGGCCGGCAAATATTAAATAATGGGCCTCGGTAAAATTATATTTCCACAAAATTTTTTTTTGTTTTGATAACTATAATTTATACGCTTAGAAGTACACCTTTAGTGGCTTAGTACCTTACTGTACAACCTTTTATCCAAAAAAACAAATAACCAATACAATTTTAATTTTGATATTCAATAGTAAAAAAAGTAAAACTATGAGCTGGTTTTAATGGTGAATTTGAAAAATGGGCCGAATTAATCTCTTGCTGCCCCTGAAACCGGAGGCTGCGCACGCCTATGAATTTTTTCAGCGTTTTAGTTTTCGTCTAAACATTAAACAATAAACTGCAATCATATTATAGAAAATTATATTATATTATATTACAGATTTTATATTAAATAAAAAAAGAAGTTGCACAGTAAATGTCCTCTTCATTATACTGGGAAAATTTGGTTGCTTAGATTGTACTACAGCCCGAATGGTTTTTACCCATAGCAAAACAGTTTTTGCTGTGTTTTCCACTTGTAATTCTATCATTATGTAATTTTCATGTGTTTTTGTTTTTCTGTTTTTCTGTTTTTTCTGTTTTTGACTTTTGATTTTTTTGTCTTGAATATATTATCAACACATAATGGGCATCCATCCTAAAACAAAAAAAAAAATTAAAATTACATAAAAATAAAATAAATATTTATACAACTTTTCATAAATTAAACAATAATTGTTATAGCAATTATTACTATAAAAATCAATTTTGTAATGGAGGCTAGACCATTATATTAGGCAGTCTTGTGAAATACTTGAGTAAAAATATATACAGGCTTTGTAGAATCGTCTTATTTTGATAACTATTTTCTTATCTAAAAAAAGACTTCCTACGTCCAACTTTAATGCGTCTTAATTTATGTTATTTTGACACAATAATTATTCTGTAATACAATATTTACGAATTTTTATGATTTATTTAATATTGAAAAACATAATTTTAGAAAATCTTAAAAAATATATTTTATATTATTTGACGCTAGTGACCTAGCGTAGTACTGTGCCATTTAATAATAACAATTGTGTCTCAATAGGCACGCGTGCCATAGATTGAAAACCCCTGCTGTAGAGCGTATTTTTGAGGACAAAATAAAATTTGCACAGGGCGCCTTAACGTACCTACCTAATCATTTATTATTTATTTATTTTTATTTTTATTTATTCTGTAAGAAGATAATAGACCCCACTGAACATCCAAGATTAACTTATTTTATTTTAGTATAAAAGTATTAAGGCGGCGTCGTGGCAGGAATGCGAAAGCAATTCCTTCGGCGTCGTCGGTTATAAACTGAAAAAAAAAAGTATAAAAGTATTAAATAATTATTTACCTTAAAATAGAGCCATTTACGCAGACATACACCGTGGAAATAATGATTGCATTTAGTAATTTTAGCTGATCCCATATTTCGATAACATATGGCACAGGCACCTTCAAAATTAGACAATTGAACTCTAGTTGCTGCTGGTAAGGATTCAATTTTTTTTACAGCTGTATGGCGTTTAATAAATACTCTCCATTCATCTCTAGCATCACACCATATGTTGAAATAAGCATGTATAACCATCATGGATGTATAGACTGCACCACCAGACCCAAAAGCCATAATATAAACACCATATAGAAAAAGAAATATTCCAAAATAGTATTCCACCTGAAATAAGAAATGTAACCATAATACTATAAAATAAATGTTAAGGATTTCTAAAATTACCGTATTGCCAAACAGTTTGATATAGTACACATAATCATCTAATTTTCTCCAAAAAGTTGTTTGACGAGCATCATATATGAACAATGAATAGACAGCTAATGATTCCAAAGATTTTATGAACATTTTAATATGAAAAAACGAAAATGCCAGTAGCCATGTAACTGAATAGTCAGACCATAAGTATTTAGAGATAGGAAAATATATGAAAAGTCCACATAGTAAAAGAGGTGCTATATGTCTAAAAAATAAAATCAAATAAATTTCAAAATATTCTTGATAAAGGTTAATATATTACATACTTTATAATTGAAGGGTTTTGAGAAACGCTCAAATCCAATAATAATGGATTAGTCACATGATAGATGTAATGCAGTTGGACAGCACAAAATAAACAATCATTTAATGTTATAATATCCTCTTCTAAACCTATTGGTCCAGTCTGTAAAGCTAGTATATATAATAATATTGCAGAAACTGTTCCAATTCTTTTGTCAACTACATCCTTTTTTAACAGCATCTAAATAAATAATATGTTAAAATCATCTGGAAATTGAAATACATGTCCATCGTTTTACCCATTGGAAGAATTTTGCTATATAATGACAAATGTATGATAAAATACTAGTCATTCCTAAAACTGAAGTAAATGTGTCACATCCTTTAATGAATACATTTTTTAAAACTTCAAAAAAAGTTTCATCATGTATTTTCTCATCAATTAACAGGTATAAAATTTGTTCTATTACTCGTATTGCAAAAAACATTTGTAGAACACACGAAATGTCGAGACGATCCCATTCCATTTCCAGAACCTCAACCGCATTCACAAACAAATTGTTTATTCTAAAAATACTAGAACAAAATACAAAATATCAAATAATACTATAATAGGTATACAATATTCCTCCATGTTTTACATAAGCAAATTGAGATTATACTTAGTTGGTGCATATAAATAATTATAATACGAATAACTAATAATATCAATAATAATATATGAAATGTTCTTACTTGATGGTCGCTCGTATACGGCTATATTTTTTACGAATTAAATTGGTAATTGTAAATAGGTCCAACCATAATGTTTTCAGTATCATAAACAATGGTAATAATGTTGATAATACAGTTACTGTATTCAAAAATCCATGTATCCATGTATCGGGTAAAAATGCAATGGTTAAAGCAGGAATAGCAAAGATAAAGCTGAAAGCCTGGAATAATTAATACATTATTTTTTATTCAGATGAAAGTTAATTAGATTGTAAAGGTATTTTTAATAAATTGCAAATCTATTGTTGAAAATAAATAAATATTATTAAATCATTATTATTATCATCATCAATTTACCTTATGGATTTTTTGATTTGTAGTAAAGTTTTGTAGAAAGTAAAATAATAATGATAGAAAACACTGTAGGATTACATTTCGGAATAATAGGTATAAGAAATGTTTGACTTGTAATTCTTTTAAAAGATTTAAAAATTCAAATAAATCCCATGGTATATCTTTATCAAACAGGTTAGTTTCTAAGTTTTCATATTTTCCGTATACAACTTTCAGTGTTTCTATGTTTGCTGAATTAGAAAGAAGTACAATACAGACAGAAAATAGATGAGAGTACACCATACTTAAGTATTTGACAGGTAGAACAAATAAACTTGAAAATGAACAAAATACTAGAAAAATAAAAATAAATATTAATTAACTGATAATTTTGAAAATGTATATTTATCTTACTCAAACAGGATACTATTATTTTGATGAAGGATAGAAATATGCCCTTGTAATATTGTGTGGACTCGCCGATGTCAATTTTACTGAGTGTGCTATTTATAAAGTCATTATTTGCTGGGAATACTGCATCTGGGGACCCAAAACTATTTTTGAAGAGTTCGTTCATAATGATTATGGGTATAATCCTCAACCAATTATGGAAACTCATGATAGCCATAGTTTTGAATAGTTAATCTCTAAACATAACAAAACCTGAAATCAATTACAACAATTATGAACATATTGGTAATATCAAATCAGACATAATAGTATGTAAATTAATACTTGGATGACACCGAGAACAAATCAACAACCAATGATACAATCGTAGAGTCAAAAATTAGAAGATACGATTAAAACCACGGACTAAGATATATCGCAGTCCTTGATTAAAACCCTAGAGTAACGACTATATACAGAAATGTACGTTGTAATATTGTGATACATGTGAATATGATTATGTGATGATTTGGCCCCGATGTCACCAACGAGCACACGCAAACCGACTGCACATACAAAAAACATTACCGCAATTATGTTACCCAGTCTACTTCTAATTTTTCTATATTTTTCATTCTTGAAGCATACCCCAATAAATTCATCGAGGAGGAACAGCCCGACTAAATCGGCTTCAAGCGCGGACTATACGTATAGCTCTATCTAGTATGTATTATCTAAGGTTTATACGCCTATGCCTAGATAGTATACAATTTATAGGAGTATTGGACATAGTTCTTATCAAACGTTACCGAAATGTCTGTCTCACTCACCAAATATTTTGTTACTCCATGAAATTATTATAATATATGTAAACAGGGTTTTCCTGAAATGGATGAGGTAAAGAGTATATTCGTACTCAGTGCGGTGGCCCAATGAAGATTTTTTAAATTTTTTTTCTATCTTCAAAATCTGGGTTTATACTAATTATTATTAGAACATTATCTTAAATGTAAAAATAAATAGTCAAGTTGTATTTTTTTGCAAAATTCTCATATGAATCAAGGTGTCACATCATTTTCGCGCTTGTCGAGCGTTCCACATCGATTTGTATGAGAACACTGCAAGATAAACAGTGGGGATAGTTTTTTATACTATCATAACCTAACCTATACTATTTACCTAATCCATTTCAGAAAAACCCTGTACATATATGTATAATTATTATTATTAATTCATAGAAGATAACCAATTTTTTTTGCCTAGTAGGATGGAAGATTGACATTTTATATTGCAGTCTCTGCTCCTTTTCGAGAACGTTACCCTCTATGTTTTAGATTCCTTTAAGGCGGCTCTAAACGATTGGATTTTTCATGCATTTAGACCAATAAGCTGGCGAAAAATACACATACTTCTAGTAGTCCAATTTCAATTTTGAATACTTATTTGGATTCGTTAGCCTCTTTTCTATGATCTGTAGGAAAAACTTTTTCATCTTTTTGTCTAGTTAGCACTTAAAAGTGCAAGTCAAATTTGAGAAATCAAGCAGTTATTTGGAACCGTAATATATGTAAATTATCTAAAATATCCAAAATCGGTTTCCTACAAATCATAGAAAAGAGGCTGACGAATTCAAATAATTTTTCAAAATTGAAATTGGACTACTAGAAGTATGTGTATTTTTCGCCAGCTTATTAGCATTTTTCACTGTTGTGAGTGTACAAAAATATTTTTCGAGAGTGATTACGTTGACTTGTGCATGCGCGTACGTGTGCTATTGAACCGTGTGCCCGCAGCCGGGCGATATAAAATCTATTGTTATCGAGTTCGAATTTCTTCGAATTTCACACTAATAATCATTTACGACTAACACATAGATTACGGGCGGCGACGACAAGATTAGAAACTGCCTAAATTGTTCCCCTTAAATAATAGCCACTAAGAGCCGCCTTAATACAGTTATCATAGTAAAGGTGTTGTACAATTATTTCTTTCTTATATGTGATCCTACAGCATTGAGGTCATATTACAAAAACGATAGAGACTGATACTTTCGAGGGTTTGACAAAATATCGATTTATCTATAATAGGTGTAGTTTATTAATTATAATAAGTCTATGACTCATACCTACCTTAATGCAGTAAGACGACCACATATAATGACGAATAAATGATTGTACAATACATTTACTATAAATTATTGTATCAATTTATGAAAAAGGTTTGGAATTTGACGCCAGTGCCAAATATCAGTGATAATAAACAATAATTAATTTTTCATATGTGAGTACTTTTTTCTTTATGAATGGTGATTCTAATTTGGTTCGCTTAGATTTTTGAGAATTAAAATAACTTGAATAGGAATTGCAGCATCTGGTTTTATATACCTAATCAGCCGTATATTTACTAATATTACTTACTATGACTTATCGCCGTGTCCGCAATCCACTGCTAGGTGACTAAGTTGAACGTGAATTGATTTTCACTTGAGTTGACTGACTTGGCAGACACTTAATATAGATACTCAGTTTTCGACTTTAAATAATTTTACATTTGAAAAACCATGGTACACGTATGCAATATAAAAAAAGTTGGGTTAGGTCATTTATCAGTTCAGTTATTTGTTATTGATGGGGACAATCGAGAAAAAAATCGAAATACTCGATTGTTGGAATTAATCGATTGTTTGAAATAATCGTTTTTTGCGATTACTATAAAACCATAGACCTTAATACCACTATTTAGAGATCACTCACAGGCAATATATGATTTTTTATGAGTTTGGTCCTAATTTGCGCTTTTGGTCACAGCTGTTTTTGCTATTTGTGAAATTGTGTTGTATATTCATTATTCCTTGGAAAAGAAAACATATTTTATAGTTTTTTCCAATGACTTCCAGCAAAACTACCTGACGGATAAGCAGCTGACATACTTTGTTAGTTATATCATGTTAGTAACTTTTTCGATAGACTGATTTATTATGATAATAATTAATAAATCACTGTAACGCAATTTGTCATCACCGCACCACCCAACCACACCTTTCTGAAATGAATGAATATAAAGATAAAAGTAAATCGAGCGATTTTATCGATCGCGGTATGAACACAAAATATAATATACTGAAGACAGTCGAATGAAAAAATAATCCGCAGTGAGTGATCCTCTCGAAAATCGAGATCAAATCTACTGACGACCAAAATATAAATATATTTAATGAAATTAGTCATCAACTATCCCATGCGATTAGTTGTTTCGCACTTCACGTATTGACATATTTAAGTCGACTAATCTTTATGAAAAATATTTAATCAAGTACTGTACAACCCGAGTAATCATTAAATAGTAATTGAATGATATTATATTTTAAGAATACAATACCGCAAATTATAACTATTTTTTTAATGTTGTTATTTTAAAAATATTGAGTTTTTTTATTTTATAATAGAGTATAATAAAGAGAATATAAATAATAAAATACACGAATATACCTAATGACTAAAAGTAATAATACAAATAGCGGGTAAGTTGAAGTCGCTTTGCTATACAGTAGGTTACAAGTGGGTCACTGTAATGGATAGTGTTAAATTGGATTTCAATGATAAAAATTCATTGTATACGAAAAACAATTCTGTGGGAAGACTGTCTGTCAGCCTATAATATTATCAAGTATATTTAATGATATCATTGTCATTAAAGCAATTTATTTTACTATTAGGCATATATAAGAACAACAGTAGTAGGTTAAATTCATTTTTACCAAAAAAAATACATTTGAAAATGTCATTGTGGTGTGTATAAAATATAGTATATACCCTAAAAGTTTCATTTACACACTAATAGTATTTTTAAATTACAACAAAATATAACTAAAATCGTTATTCTTGGTTTTAATATGTAATTTCATCCAAATTTTAACTTATAATGTTTGTACAAAATAACGGTGTTTATATTTTCTTCAGATTTTTTTTATACTATTAATTGTTCTTGAGAATTTTTGTCTTAATTTATTAATTCTTAGCTATTAAAATTGAACATTTTATAATCTTTTAACTATTGGTACTAAATAATTTGTAAATTTTCAATTTGATAACTGTTGTCAAATTTGAACTTTAAACTTTACATTTTTATAGCTAAGGATTGAAAATGTAAGAAAAGATTCTCATAAATAGTTCATACTGTAACCAAAAAAAAAATACATATAGATATAAGCAACTTTATTAATATAAATATAGCGGACTGCTCACTTTGTGAGTTGCCTAAAGTTAATTTAAAAATATAGTTTTAGATATATGAGACATTTAAAGTATATTATTATATTTTATACACACATTGACATAATTCGCAAAAACGAATTTAACCTATTGTAGTAGATTGTAGATACCTACTAGTTACTAATCACAATATCTTAAAATATACCTACTTAGTAATATTTTAAGCTGACGGACCTCCGCTGCCAATCGTTTTTCGTTAAAAATATTTTAATGTCATTGAATTCAAATTTAACACCATCCATTACAGTAACCCACTTCTAACCTACTGTAAAGTAGAGTGACACCCTCTTGTCCGCTTTCAAATTATTATTTATTTTAAACGTTTGGTGCACCAAATATTATAAGTTTAGTTTGTCTTGTTGATTAGTGATTAATGAAAAGAGTGTGTGATTTTACTTAGTCGTATGTGAGTGCGTGAGTCTTGAGGCGTAAGTTCAAATGCGAAATCGTACACTACCTACCTATTAATATTTAATACTAACCGGACCTTTTATTTGTGTGAATCATTCGATTGTTATAACTTCTCGATTATCGGAATCACTAGACCATAGACCAGAGCTCTGACCTTCGTGGACCGTCCATCATTATACCCATTATTGTAATGGCTGAGTATGAGTTGATTCCCAGGTACCTGTTTACCTGCACTCATACCGTAGAGTTGATTCCCGAGTCATTAAGAGGCTTAGAGGTACCTATTTACGAGTTGATTCCCTGGTCATTATTGGGATAGCCAAATTGCACCTATTACTTTAAAATGAATGGACGAATTGCACTTGGGTTCAAAAAAGGTAATAGTCGAATTGCACTCAGGTAAAAAACAGGTAGTGATTGAACTGCACTAGTTCAAAAAAGGATTTAAAATTTTTAGGCCACTATGGACATTCACTTTTATTATTTTAATAATATTTGACGATTTAAAAAAAAAAATTACAAAAAAATATTTTAAAAATGAAAAAAA